GGATGTCTGGAAGCCGGCAGCAGGTTACAAAGACCGGATGAGTCCAAACGAGTCTGTGGTCTTAAACAGGAGCAACATCAACGACCAGGGACTGTACGGGTTAACCTGCGGCTCAGAGGAGAAACGTATCCATCTGAATGTCATCACATCCTCGGAGAAATCAGTGCCTGAGGGACAGGCTGCTGGATTTACCTTCCACTACTTTACTGCAGGAGAACTCGGGAGGTACAGAGTGGAGAGAAACACACAGCTTGTGTTTGAGCTGGACCTCTCCTCCGGAAGCACCTCACAGGGCTCAGGGTTTGAGAACAGAACATCTGTAGCCCCTCACTGGAGGTCCGATGGAGACCTGACTCTGACCCTGCAGGGGGTGAAGCCCGAGGACCGAGGAGATTACTTTCTCTACGTCCTCAAGGACAGACAGAGGGGACATCTGCAGGCTGTGAGGATGAGGGTCAGCCCTGCACTGAATGCACCAGAGGAGAGGAACCGGGAGCAGATCACCTGCACCCCCCAGCCACCATGCGTGAGTAGGCTACAACACAAATATAAAAAGCAGTTAGTTTGTAGATTAATCTTAGACATGACGCTACTGTGTTGTGTACGGAGCCCCCATAGTCTAGCCGTAGAGGGACATGGGGAGAAAAAAAGAGATACGTGCGTCGTGCGCACGAGATAGCCTAACCCGTTATCCCGACTTTTTTTTTGAATGAAATACTAATGCTAAATCCCGACTTGTTTATCCGAGAAAGTTACCGGTGCGCCAAGTGGAGCACACAGGAGACAACCGTTTGATTGGGCTGTTATGTGTATGTGGGGAAATGGGGAAATGACATTGCATATTTGAGATGTCGAACTCGGAGTTCATTTTAAGGACAGTCTGCCTTGATATCAATTAAAGTCCGTGACTCTCACATTATTTATTTTTTCTCCAATTTATGTCAATAAAGTCACTCGTTATCTCGATTTTTAAAAACCCGTTTCATGTCCCGGAGCTCCGTAGTTCATAGCGGTCTGATCGTTTTTGTCCCTCTCTCTCTGTTGCAGAAAGAGAAGACCGCTTTGATCTGTGTCTCCGTAGCTGCTGTGCTTTTGATTGCTGGAGCTTTTTACTGTGGTCAGAAAATGCCGAGAATCTGCGGGTCAAAGGTCTCTGGAGGAGCCGCTGCTGGAGGAGCTCCAACAGGACTCGAGATGCCACCTTACACCGACACTCCTGTTCCGGTAGTCGTGAATGGACATGCTTGATAACGGTGTTTAATGTGATGTAATATTGTTTTCAATTATATTCACATTATTGCGCAGTATTCTGTACATGCTTTCTCCCGCCGTGGTGCTTTGTTATAGTTGTCGGCAAAACACACTTTATTTTTCTACCTTCTCTCCCTCGACCCTCATTATTTAGTTAGCAGCAGGTGTTTAGTATTATTGCGCAGCTCAGTTGAATACTCGTTTCTGATTGGTCAATTCGGACATTTCAGAGGTTATTAATATCCAATAACAAAGCCTACTGCTGCTGCCAAGCATAACATCAATAATGACCTAGCTGCACATTATCACTGATTTAAGTACCTCTGAAATGACCACATTGATCAGGATAACACACATGCAGAGTAAACAATAATCATAAACGTATATAGAAAAAGTGATAAAAAACAACTAAAAAGGTATAATTTCAAGTAAAATATTTATCAAATTTGGTTTGGATTTCCTTCTAATATGTTATATTTGTAATAGTTCCATATTCTAAGTCAAAATGTGGTTGGTCAACATTTGGTCTGGAATGCATTTCTTCTTGTGAATGGGAAATATTCCCAAAAAGAAAACGTGTTAAAATGTGCATTAAATCCACCACCTTTAAAGTTTATTAACATGTCCACATTCAGGTACTGATATGGTTTTCAATCATATTTATATTATTATTTATTTAGTTATTTTATAATGCTGCTACTTTGTTTGCTGCATCTGTACATATCCTGCTGTGCGACAAATGAAGGATTTTAGATTCTTTGCCAATCAAATAAATGTAAAATGTGACCATATGCTCGTGTTTTTCCCTGTGTGTGCTGGACTGGTTTCGACGTAAGGTTAATGGATTCTTCTCCTCAACATTAAAAATACAATATATTTAAAAAACAACACATGGATTTATGCTTATTGAAAAAGTCTGATAGAGGTGAATAGGAAACATCTAAATACAAAACACACAGCTTCAGATTGAACCTCCCTTTCATTCATTCCGGAAGTGTGAGTCAGCACTCATCATTTGGTAATGATGCAAATAAACCAGCTCTATAACTGCCCTGTTCTTCTTTATTTGTCAAGTCGCTCATCTATCATGCGCATTTATCAGCAACACACAATGACCTGAGTGCATATTGGGCAGGATGTAAATGTTGTGCAACATTAATATCCCCTCCTCCTATACATTTTTCTAGGCCTATCTTAATTTATTTACAGTTGGCATAGTACCAGCTACCGCTTTAATTGTAATTCTATACGGTCAGAAGGGATTTCATCGGCCAGAATACACATGTAAAATATGGAGATACAATCCCTTTTTGATTTGGGCCTATCTGGGCCTTCATGGCTTCAATTTGACTATTTAAAAGGAACGTTAATAATACAAGACAAATATTATCAAATACAAATTAAAACATTTACAAATGTCCAATATTGTAAGCCCGTTTTCTGTAGTTGTTAAACCAGTGGTAGTTGTATGGACACATGGCCATAGGAACTATTGTCACCACAGCAAATTAGAAATATTAATGACAATATTTAGACAAAAATGCATTAAAATAAAAACCGGCAATGTAGCACTACTTCCTGTTTACATTCCCAAAGCATTGGAACTGGAGTCCAAACGTTTAAAGCATAATCATCCCACAGAATTACATAAATAAAATAGTTGGTTTATTTCTGTCTGGTGAATAATTAAATAAAATCTAGCGGCCTCTGGTTATTTGTTCCATGTTTCCCCTTATATAATGTTGCGTTGCAGTTTAAACCCAATCACAGAAAGCAGATCGCCCAGTTAGACAGTGCAATATCAAATTAAGATCACTTATAGACTGCTCTCCATGAGGCTTACAAGGAAGTAGCGAAAGTTACCGAATCATCACATTTCTTCTCGGTTAGTAATCGAAGCACATTGCTTCATTACTGCCATATGATTACTGTGAAGTCCTGATATTCAGCTTTGTGATCATACCCACTCCCATCCGCGCGACGGGAGAGAGGGAGACAAGTTATTCTACTAATAGCGCGAGTCAGCTTTACGCGGAGGTATCTTAAACCGAACGTGAAAAACGGACAAGCTGCAATTTTCTCCAAAAAACAATTGTGCTTCCTAAACTTTGAATTTACATCATTATTAAGCACCAACATTAATGTAAAATAAACACTATTAGGCTCAAATTACGCTTCAAACGAATGGGAGATGTATTATGGGACAAAGAAGCTAATTATTATGCAGACGTTTGCCCGTGTTGAGATATAACATACAGACATGTATAGTGTATGACTCCATGTATTACTGTGTACCATATATTGTTTATGTAAGTAGCTGCGACTACTAACTGTGTTCATTGGTTAGGGCTGTACCACATGATTGTGATGTCACTACCTGGGGTATAAGACCGTTGGAAGTCACGCCCCTTCTCTCTCTGTCCTCAAGCCTCTTGAGATGTGTGCCTATAATAAATAACGCCGTGATGAATGGCTAAACTTGAACTGCTAAGATTATTCACCTTTCTGCTGCAGGAGAAAAAAGGTTTAAGTCTAAATCTGCTAACAGCCCGTTTGCAGTAAACACATGTTTAGTAGAACAATAGCATTTTTAAGGCATCAACCTCAGAACATTCAGAATCATTCAAGTCATTCTCCACCGTTTTGCTCCATCCTATAGTCAAATCTGAATAACGAATGAATGGATAAAATAAGTGAAAGTGTGGTTCTGGTTGCTTCAGTGGTTCCCAACCAGGTGTATGGGGACCCCTAGCGGTGCTTGAGGGGGTTGTAGAAGGATTAGGGATTGCAATGGCCACACAAAAACATTTTAAAATCTATTTTCATAAGCCTGGCTCTGGCCCCAAAAGCTTATGAAACACAAGCTCAGGTGTCTCATTAAAAGCTCTTAATAAAGTGAAACTGCTAGAAGTCTGACTTTATATTATTATTTTTCACTGACTATAGCCTATGTCTAAATGTCAAGTTGTATGAATGGTGAGTTTATACAATGGATTTTCATCTAAGGGGCAATTGGGTTAAATACGATTACAGAGGGTTTAACACATTCTTATGGAATGGAGACCATGCTGAAGGCCCCATATTTAAAATGTGTAAATCATGCACATTTCTTCTCCACACAACCTCTTTTGAATCAGCACAGCTCTCCACTTTAAATATCGTATTTGTCAATATTATAGATTTTTTACAATTAATATACATTTTCTTAATAGCTGTCATAAAAGTCCTGTTTTTATTGTAAAACTGTGAAGTCACACTTTTGTTTGTGTGAACCGCTCAAGGCTACAACTCCCGTCTCGCACCACACACCAAGATGGCCGTCACGTTGGAACATTTCACTTCTTTCTTTCAGAATGAGGCGGAAAGTATTAAGAGAGATGAAAATCACTCCTAGTCTGGGCACGTTGAGAGCTGTGCACACACACAAGGGGAGTTAGTCGGTTCCGTGAGAGCCAGCATGCGGGACCGGGACTCTGGGATTGGTAGTCTTTATAGTTGCGTATTTTTCATAGTCTTATATTTCAACAGTTTTACGACAAACTGTGACTTTTTTGACATGGAAATTATTATTTAAGATTGACAAACATCATGTTTAATTCATGGAACAATTCAAACGGGATCGAAAGACACGTTTTCTCTCTCCATTGACTTCAATACGTACTTTTTCGGAAATAAGGTCCCATGGACCGGAAGTAGATGGGCGGGACTTCGCCTCTCTATGCAACAAAAAGCAGATCTGACAATACGGGTTGTTGTTTATAATCAGACTTTATTCTGGGTCCACATGTAATGACAGAAAATAAACAGATACAATGAACATGGTGTACAAGGACATTGAGATAAAAAGGAATATACAACAACACATTGTTAAACTGCTGCCATCATCCTACGGGTGAGCATTGTGCCTTTATATGATCATTATGCAACAACGCCGCGTGCTTCTGCTGGAACGCGGTCGAGGTGCTTTTCTACTTTAATAGGACGATGCAAAATTAGGAATATTTATCATTTACCACAACTCCAGTCTATTGATTACATGAGAAATGGGGTAAGAAAGCAAGATTTTAACAAAACATACAGAATGCAGGAAAAAGAATACAGAAGATATTTGATAAATAACACGATTAAAAGATCCGACAAATATGAAAAACAATGGCAAAACACAGCTTGAAGCAGAGCATAACGGTTATACAAGGAAATGTGATAATTGCATTAAAACAAAGCAGGAGCCTTTTTCTCATTTTCATACTAGTTCAGCTTGATCTCACTTTAAAGAGGGAATATTTAACATTATTTAAACCAACACTTATTTTTAGTACGAGACACTTCCTGTTCGATCGCCCCACGCGTACGCAGTCTAATTGAGTGTGTGAGTTTTGTTCTTTTGGATCTAGAGGTGACTTTTTACTCGAGGTACGTTCATCCCGTCTCTTTTCAGAAAACATTAATTTCTTGTAAGCACACTTGCAAAAGCATGAACTCATGTTTTTGTCCCTAATCTGTATCAGTATTTAGTTATTATACGTGAATTACAATTAAATCACGGTCAAATGTGTTCACTTGTTGTTGGTGTATACCACGGTATGTACATGGAGATAAGCCCCGCCTCCTCGCCAGCACGTCTAGTTTGAGTGACGCGAGTAAACACGAATGGTGCTGCGGGCCAACTCAATGCAATGCAAATCAAAAGAGTATAATATGAAGTTGTTCAGATAGCAGAGAAAAAGACTTGGGCTGCAAGTAAACTAAATAAACAATGGATTCTGGACTTCTTCTTCTCTTCTTCTTCTCTTCTTCTTCTCTCCTCTCCTCTCCTCTCCTCTCCTCTCAGTGCACCAGCTCCAGTTGGCTGCTGGAGAAAGGCAGGACCCCACTGACGTAGTAAGCGATGCCCAGAGAGAGCAGAGCGATGACCACCAGCAGCAGGAGGACCCTCCAGAAGCCCAGGTCCTCCACGAACTCCTGCCAGGTGGTCCTGAAGCTGGACAGCACCCCCTCACTGCTCTGCAGGTTGGGGTTCAGCAGGGAGTGGCTCTCCATCGCACTGGAACATGGAGGAAATCACAGTTAGGACCACCTCCTCTCTCCTCATTTTGACTGGTATGCGTATCCTAACCCACCTCAAAGCAAGGCAAACAAAACCAGAATCTTTTTGGCTGCTCATCCTTTTTGAAACTTGAAGTACGGCCTGCTAGACATGAATGGACACATTTTGGCTACTGTGGCAAAGCAACTAAAACTAATGGCGACACGTTTTTAGGCTATTTAGATGTAAATGTCCTGGGGAAGAGCGAGTTTGATTTTTCAAAAATGTTCATTTGTTGTAATTTCCTCATTTATATTCAACATTTTCAAACTCTCTCCAACACCACATCTGGCCGTTTGGACCTGTCTGTCCAGCTGAAAGGAAACCGCGCTTCCCCATGCATTTAGTTATTACAGTAATGACTCATTATCTACAGCAGTCTGGTGTCCTCACAGATGAAACAAACACATCATTATCTACTGGAGGACACACACACACACACACACACACACACACACACACACACACACACACACACACACACACCACACACACACACACACACACACACACACACACACACACACACACACACACACACACACACACACACACACACACACACACACACACACACACACACACACACACACACACACACACACACACACACACACACACACACACACACACACACACACGTTCAGCTCACCTCTCACTGTCGGCCATCTGCATGGTCTCCAGTTTGGAGTGTGCTCCTCTGTTGAAGCCCTTCACCTCCTGCTCCTCCAGACCCTCCAGCAGGCGGATGGCGTCCTTGTTGACGCCGCGTCTCTTGGCCAGAACCAGAGGGGTGGAGCCGTTGTGATTACTGTGAAGGAGAAGAGCGGACAGACAGCTGTTAGTCAAAAGAGTCAAAGGAACGGTGCTAGAGCGGATATTAGAAGTATTTAAAGAGTCCTCTCCTGCTGAGGTTCAGGAGTAATATCAGTATGTAGTACATACTGATCTACACCTGAACATCAGCAGGAGAGGACTCTTTAAAGTAGAGACACTACATACTGATATACACCTGAACATCAGCAGGAGAGGACTCTTTAAAGTAGAGAGACTACATACTGATATACACCTGAACATCAGCAGGAGAGGACTCTTTAAAGTAGAGAGACTACATACTGATATACACCTGAACATCAGCAGGAGAGGACTCTTTAAAGTAGAGAGACTACATACTGATATACACCTGAACATCAGCAGGAGAGGACTCTTTAAAGTAGAGACACTACATACTGATATACACCTGAACATTAGCAGGAGAGGACTCTTTAAAGTAGAGACACTACATACTGATATACACCTGAACATCAGCAGGAGAGGACTCTTTAAAGTAGAGACACTACATACTGATATACACCTGAACATCAGCAGGAGAGGACTCTTTAAAGTAGAGACACTACATACTGATATACACCTGAACCTCAGCAGGAGAGGACTCTTTAAAGTAGAGAGACTACATACTGATATACACCTGAACATCAAGCAGGAGAGGACTCTTTAAAGTAGAGACACTACATACTGATATACAACCTGAACATCAGCAGGAGAGGACTCTTTAAAAGTAGACACTACATACTGATATACACCTGAACATCAGCAGGAGAGGGACTCTTTAAAGTAGAGACCACTACATACTGATATTACACCTGAACATCAGCAGGAGAGGACTCTTTAAAGTAGAGACACTACATACTGATATACACCTGAACATCAGCAGGAGAGGACTCTTTAAAGTAGAGACACTACATACTGATATACACCTGAACATCAGCAGGAGAGGACTCTTTAAAGTAGAGACACTACATACTGATATACACCTGAACATCAGCAGGAGAGGACTCTTTAAAGTAGAGACACTACATACTGATATACACCTGAACATCAGCAGGAGAGGACTCTTTAAAGTAGAGACACTACATACTGATATACACCTGAACATCAGCAGGAGAGGACTCTTGTAAAGTAGGACACTACATACTGATATACACCTGAACATCAGCACCTGAACATCAGCAGGAGAGGACTCTTTAAAGTAGAGACACTACATACTGATATACACCTGAACATCAGCAGGAGAGGACTCTTTAAAGTAGAGACACTACATACTGATATACACCTGAACATCAGCAGGAGAGGACTCTTTAAAGTAGAGACACTACATACTGATATACACCTGAACATCAGCAGGAGAGGACTCTTTAAAGTAGAGACACTACATACTGATATACACCTGAACATCAGCAGGAGAGGACTCTTTAAAGTAGAGACACTACATACTGATATACACCTGAACATCAGCAGGAGAGGACTCTTTAAAGTAGAGACACTACATACTGATATACACCTGAACATCAGCAGGAGAGGACTCTTTAAAGTAGAGACACTACATGCTGATATACACCTGAACATCAGCAGGAGAGGACTCTTTAAAGTAGAGACACTACATACTGATATACACCTGAACATCAGCAGGAGAGGACTCTTTAAAGTAGAGACACTACATACTGATATACACCTGAACATCAGCAGGAGAGGACTCTTTAAAGTAGAGACACTACATACTGATATACACCTGAACATCAGCAGGAGAGGACTCTTTAAAGTAGAGACACTACATACTGATATACACCTGAACATCAGCAGGAGAGGACTCTTTAAAGTAGAGACACTACATACTGATATACACCTGAACATCAGCAGGAGAGGACTCTTTAAAGTAGAGACACTACATAGCTGATATACACCTGAACATCAGCAGGAGAGGACTCTTTAAAGTAGAGGACACTACATACTGATATACACCTGAACATCAGCAGGAGAGGACTCTTTAAAGTAGAGACACTACATACTGATATACACCTGAACATCAGCAGGAGAGGACTCTTTAAAGTAGAGACGCTACATACTGATATACACCTGAACATCAGCAGGAGAGGACTCTTTAAAGTAGAGACACTACATACTGATATACACCTGAACATCAGCAGGAGAGGACTCTTTAAAGTAGAGACACTACATACTGATATACACCTGAACATCAGCAGGAGAGGACTCTTTTAAAGTAGAGACACTACATACTGATATACACCTGAACATCAGCAGGAGAGGACTCTTTAAAGTAGAGACACTACATACTGATATACACCTGAACATCAGCAGGAGAGGACTCTTTAAAGTAGAGACACTACATACTGATATACACCTGAACATCAGCAGGAGAGGACTCTTTAAAGTAGAGACACTACATACTGATATACACCTGAACATCAGCAGGAGAGGACTCTTTAAAGTAGAGACACTACATACTGATATACACCTGAACATCAGCAGGAGAGGACTCTTTAAAGTAGAGACACTACATACTGATATACACCTGAACATCAGCAGGAGAGGACTCTTTAAAGTAGAGACACTACATACTGATATACACCTGAACATCAGCAGGAGAGGACTCTTTAAAGTAGAGACACTACATACTGATATACACCTGAACATCAGCAGGAGAGGACTCTTTAAAGTAGAGACACTACATACTGATATACACCTGAACATCAGCAGGAGAGGACTCTTTAAAGTAGAGACACTACATACTGATATACACCTGAACATCAGCAGGAGAGGACTCTTTAAAGTAGAGACACTACATACTGATATACACCTGAACATCAGCAGGAGAGGACTCTTTAAAGTAGAGACACTACATACTGATATACACCTGAACATCAGCAGGAGAGGACTCTTTAAAGTAGAGACACTACATACTGATATACACCTGAACATCAGCAGGAGAGGACTCTTTAAAGTAGAGACACTACATACTGATATACACCTGAACATCAGCAGGAGAGGACTCTTTAAAGTAGAGACACTACATACTGATATACACCTGAACATCAGCAGGAGAGGACTCTTTAAAGTAGAGACACTACATACTGATATACACCTGAACATCAGCAGGAGAGGACTCTTTAAAGTAGAGACACTACATACTGATATACACCTGAACATCAGCAGGAGAGGACTCTTTAAAGTAGAGACACTACATACTGATATACACCTGAACATCAGCAGGAGAGGACTCTTTAAAGTAGAGACACTACATACTGATATACACCTGAACATCAGCAGGAGAGGACTCTTTAAAGTAGAGACACTACATACTGATATACACCTGAACATCAGCAGGAGAGGACTCTTTAAAGTAGAGACACTACATACTGATATACACCTGAACATCAGCAGGAGAGGACTCTTTAAAGTAGAGACACTACATACTGATATACACCTGAACATCAGCAGGAGAGGACTCTTTAAAGTAGAGACACTACATACTGATATACACCTGAACATCAGCAGGAGAGGACTCTTTAAAGTAGAGACACTACATACTGATATACACCTGAACATCAGCAGGAGAGGACTCTTTAAAGTAGAGACACTACATACTGATATACACCTGAACATCAGCAGGAGAGGACTCTTTAAAGTAGAGACACTACATACTGATATACACCTGAACATCAGCAGGAGAGGACTCTTTAAAGTAGAGACACTACATACTGATATACACCTGAACATCAGCAGGAGAGGACTCTTTAAAGTAGAGACACTACATACTGATATACACCTGAACATCAGCAGGAGAGGACTCTTTAAAGTAGAGACACTACATACTGATATACACCTGAACATCAGCAGGAGAGGACTCTTTAAAGTAGAGACACTACATACTGATATACACCTGAACATCAGCAGGAGAGGACTCTTTAAAGTAGAGACACTACATACTGATATACACCTGAACATCAGCAGGAGAGGACTCTTTAAAGTAGAGACACTACATACTGATATACACCTGAACATCAGCAGGAGAGGACTCTTTAAAGTAGAGACACTACATACTGATATACACCTGAACATCAGCAGGAGAGGACTCTTTAAAGTAGAGACACTACATACTGATATACACCTGAACATCAGCAGGAGAGGACTCTTTAAAGTAGAGACACTACATACTGATATACACCTGAACATCAGCAGGAGAGGACTCTTTAAAGTAGAGACACTACATACTGATATACACCTGAACATCAGCAGGAGAGGACTCTTTAAAGTAGAGACACTACATACTGATATACACCTGAACATCAGCAGGAGAGGACTCTTTAAAGTAGAGACACTACATACTGATATACACCTGAACATCAGCAGGAGAGGACTCTTTAAAGTAGAGACACTACATACTGATATACACCTGAACATCAGCAGGAGAGGACTCTTTAAAGTAGAGACACTACATACTGATATACACCTGAACATCAGCAGGAGAGGACTCTTTAAAGTAGAGACACTACATACTGATATACACCTGAACATCAGCAGGAGAGGACTCTTTAAAGTAGAGACACTACATACTGATATACACCTGAACATCAGCAGGAGAGGACTCTTTAAAGTAGAGACACTACATACTGATATACACCTGAACATCAGCAGGAGAGGACTCTTTAAAGTAGAGACACTACATACTGATATACACCTGAACATCAGCAGGAGAGGACTCTTTAAAGTAGAGACACTACATACTGATATACACCTGAACATCAGCAGGAGAGGACTCTTTAAAGTAGAGACACTACATACTGATATACACCTGAACATCAGCAGGAGAGGACTCTTTAAAGTAGAGACACTACATACTGATATACACCTGAACATCAGCAGGAGAGGACTCTTTAAAGTAGAGACACTACATACTGATATACACCTGAACATCAGCAGGAGAGGACTCTTTAAAGTAGAGACACTACATAC